TCCTAGACTTATTCTCTCCTTTATATAGTAATTTTGAATATATAGATATATAGATATATAGATATACATGTACGTGTATATATTATCCTTATCACATAGATATTCAGTTTTTTATGTCCGTGTCTCCTCCACGTCGTGCAAGTGGCATTTAGCCGGTATGAAATATATACTGCAACAAAAAGATACGGCTTAATAAATTATGTACATTTATGTTTATCCTTGCTGTTCTGTCCGGGTCTATTTCATCGAAAATCCTTTTCCTCTCCCTATTACATTTTTATATAGTGAGAAAGGATTCTGCCATTTTATGACTTCACTTCATAGCTCAAGTAGCTTCATAGAACATTAATTAATATTGTTGAGCAATGAAACTAAGTTATGAACTGCCATAACGTTCACTCACCACCTAAAAGTGTAATGGAAAAATAGAGATCATTTCGGATCAAATAGATCTGAAAAGCAATAATGAATATAGAAAAGTTGTAGTACACGATGAATTAATTATCTACGTGAAATGTGAACATACTTAATTGTTTTCATTTAGCGCTTCTACAGTTTCGACCAGCGAATCGTCTGGTTCGTCATTCTAGAACCTGCGGGCTGTATGTTGCTCCCGTGGGTGTGATCCACGAACAGCCATGCTGTGGCGTTGCTTTGTCGCCTCGCGCATACGCATTTGAAATGTCGCCCGGCTAGGTGTATTGAAATAGCGATTATTGTTAACAGCAACTGGGTAAAATTATATACAGCTTATTTTCTTTGAAATTATACGTAAAATATTATAATTGTATAAATATTGATCCTATGCAAAATAAGGCCGTATATCTACAATAGGTGTAATAAGTCTTAAGTCGTAAGAAATTGATTAACTTATTCTCGATTATATTCCTCACAATTTGACTGTCAATTTTGCAAAGTTCACGCGCTTCCACGTTATAACTTACAAAATTGAATTAACCGAATCATCATGAAGAACTAATCTCAACACAAGAGACACTGTTAATTGTAATGCTGTTGTAAACGCACGACGTTGATATCTTTAATGGTTGCAGGGAAAAAGGTCATAAAGTCTATAGTCGCGCATTCGAATAATAGAAAAAACCGTGATGTACACACGTCCCCATGTTTTAATTAACGAAGGTATATTAGTCATATCGTTACAAACCGTAATACCGTAAAACCGTTCGTACATTATTTCCAATAAAATAATGTACGAACTCGTTAATGTATCTTGAATAATGCCGATATCTTTAGCGGTTGCAGAGAAAAAAGTCATGTACTCTGTTATCACGAAAGCGAATCGGAATGCCTCAACGTATACGCATTTCCGCATCAGAATTAGCGAAAGTTTATTAATCATTTTATTAAAATTATTATTCCCAATAGAAAAGTATACGGAGAAGTTAATATTTTATGAATAAAATCAATATTTTTAGCCGTTCCGAGATTTCGGCGATTACATGTTGCGGAGAAATATTGGGCGGAAAGTTTGACGCCAAAGGTGGGCGTCGAAGCCTTTATTAGCACGCGTTACCTTCTCATGGATTAGTGCCGCCGGCAAATTCCGTTAACTGACTGCATGTAGTACAATTTCTTGTGTCAATTCTTCTAATATAATGATATGATTACTACACCAATGTCTATTAAAGAGTTACAGAGAAATAAGGCAAATATATTAATGGTGAGTAGGCGAGAGATCGACATTATACAAAGTTCATGCGGTTTCACACCCTAGTCAACGAAAGTGCATTGATCGTATCATTTAAAGTACTTAATTTCTACCGAACAGATTAAAAATAAGGTAATGTTTTGTGTGTAACGTTGGTATTTTTACACGGTTCAGAAAAATGAGCGATAAATGTAAGTTAAGCGAAAGAAAATAATCGACATGTCATAAAGTTTACACGCTTCGACATTTTAGTTAACGTACAGATATCAACTGTATCATTATTAATCAATTATTTCCACACAAGCGACTTTTTAGATTGTAATGCTTTTTGAATGACGTTGATACTTTTAGCGGTTGCAAAGAGAAAAGCCGTGAACTCGGTAGCCGCGCACGCGAATGATCGGAATGCTGAAACGTACACGCATTACCGCGCCATAATTAACGAAAGTGTATCAATAGAATAATTATATTGGAAGAATTCGTAAAAGACACCGCAGTACACACCAACAGTTTCCGGAATGTGGCGGCAACTATCAATGAGATAGTAACGTGATAAAAAATGTCACGACGCATATGTTAGACGTCTTACTTGCCGCCGAATAATTCTCCGTTATGAATAATCGGCAAAATTTCGTCAACGGCCACAGATATCGACTTTATTCAAAAAACATTAAAATATGCATACACTTTTCTGTTGGAAATAATAATTTATAACGAAACGGTTAATATACATTCGTTAATTATGGTGCGGAAGTGTGTGTACGTTGTGGCATTCCGATTATTTGCGTGCGTGGCGACAGAATTTATGGCTTTTTTCTCTGCAACCTTTTTAGGTATCGACGTTATTCGAAAAGCATTACAATCTGCAGATTTGCTTATGTTTAAGTTGATGATTTATGATAATATGTTGATATACCTGCGTTAACTAAGGCTATGAAGCGCGTGAACCTTGTGGCGTCTCGAATATTTTCTTTCGCATTGTTTATATTCATAGCTTATCTCTATGCAAGGTGAAAATATATCGACGTCCCACAAAAACATTATCTCATCCGTATAGATTCTGAAGAAATTAGTGGTTTATAATAGCACAATTAATGCACCTTCGTTAATTAAGACATGAAAGCACGTGAACTTTGCGTAATGTCGAACTTTCGCTTTCGTATATCTATTATTTATGGCTTTTTCATCTACAACACCATAATTGACAAAGGTATATTAATCGTATCATCACATTGGAAGAATTGACAAAAGGTATTGTAGAATACGCCGTCAGTTCTTGAAATGTGACGGCAATAATCTGTGAGATAGTATCGTGTGATAGAAAAATCTCCGATACTCACGTTTGGCGTTCGACTTGCCGCCGAGTAATTCTCCGCTACAAATAATCACCAGAATCTCGTGAACAACTACAAATATTCACTTTTTTCATAAAACATTATCTTATGCATAAACTTTCTTTTTGGAAATAATTATTTATAATTATTCGATTAATACAGCTTCGCTAATTATGGCGCGCAAATACGTACATGTTGCGTGATTCCTATTATGAGCATGCGCGGCGACAGAGTTTACGGCTTCCTGTTTGCAAACGCTAAAGATATCGACATTAATCAAAAAGCATTACATCTAAAAATTTATTTGTTTTGAAATTAGTTGTTTATGATGATACGGTTAATACACGTTACCTAAGGCGTTGAAGCGTATTCATACACGTTACATAAGGCGTGAATTTTGTGTCACATTGATTATCCCCTTTCGCCTCGCTTATTTCTCTGAAACGATAAAGATACCGACGAAACACAAAGAAACATTATCTCATCAGTAATCCGTTCTATAAAAATTAGTGGTTTATAATAATATGATTAATGCATTTTCGTCAACTAAGGCTTGAAAGCCCGTGAATCTTCGTTAACTAAGACTTGAAAGCCCGTGGACCTAATGTCATACATTCGTCTATCAAGGGGTTGCAGAGAAATAAGCCATAAATATGGTACCAAAGCAAAAGATCGACATTACGCAAAGTTCATGCGCTTGCACGCCTTAATATACGAAAGAGAATTAACCGTATTATCATTAAGAACTTATCTCAACACAAGAAACACTGTTAATTGTAATGCTGTTTTTAACGCACGACGTTGATATCTTAAACTGTTGCTAGGAAAAAAACCATATACTCTATTGTCGCGCACGCGAATAATGAGAAAACTGCAATGTGCACGAGCTCGCAAACATTAATTAACGAAGGTTCATTAGTCATAGTAACGAAGGGATATTAGTTGTTACAAACCATTATTTCCAATAGAATAGAATACGAACTTGTTAATGTTTTCTGAATAACGCCGACATCTTTAGCGGTTGAAGAGAAAAAAGCCGTAAACTCTGTCGCTACGCATGCGAATAATTGAAACCGCAACGTACACGCATTTCCGCCCTATAATTAATAAATTTATATTAATGATATCATTATTAATTATTGTTTTCTATAAAAACCTGCTGTTAAATTAATGTTTTATGAATAAAGTCGATATCTGTCGCCGTTGCCGAGATTTCAGCGATTATTTGTGGCCGAAGATTATATCGCGGAAATTCGTACGCCAAATGTTAGCGTTGAAGCCTTTTGCGAGGGTGAATCAAATATAAACCGGAATTATTTTTCTTTTGTTTAATTGAAACATCATAAAAAAACTAACATACGAGGTGTGTTCAGAAAATAACGGGAATTTTTGTTTTTTGAAAAAAATATTTATTTATTCGTCTACATTAATGTTGTCGCCTTCAAAATAGTCCCCATTAGATATTATGCACTTGTGCCAGCGCTTCTTCCAATCCTCGAAACACTTGTCAAACTCGATCTTTGAGAGAGCCTTTAGCTCTTTTAGCGATGCGCTTTTAATGTCATCTATGCTTGTAAAACGACGGCCCTTTAAAGTTCTCTTTATTTTTGGAAATAGGAAAAAGTCACACGGAGCCATGTTTGGCGAATATGGAAGCTGGGGCATCGTTACAGTATTGTTTTTGGCCAAAAATTCACAAACAAGCAATGAAGTGTGAATAGGTGCATTATTGTGGTGTAAAAGCCATGAATTGTTTTTCCACAAATCCGGGCATTTTTTTTCGGATTGCTTCACGCAAACGGCGTTGAACTTGTAGGTAGTACTCCTTATTGACCGTTTGACCTCGTGGCAAGAATTCATGATGCATTATGCCATTAAAATCGAAGAACAAAGTGAGCATAACCTTCACGTTCGACCGCACTTGTCGAGCCTTTTTCGGTCTTGGC